CTTTTGCTTCTGCTGGGGACACCTCACCCTTCCAACCCTGCAAAGCGAGCAGACCCTGGGTCACAGAGACACATCTTCCCCAGGTCCCACTGGGCGCTGGACAGCGGGGGGTCCACCGGAGAGCCCAGCCAGGCGGGAACGTCTCAGACACCTGTGCCACAGGTCGCCAGCCCCTAGGCTCAGGTGCCATTGTGCGTTAGGAATGGGAGGAGCTCACAGGTATCAGTTAGGTGCTACAGGTGCCCCAAATGACAGGGACTACCTCAGCCCACAATGACCACATCCAACTGGCCCTACACCAGGCTCATCAGCCCATTCCTGGGACAATGGTGCCACCTGGTGGCCCAATCTGTCCACAGCAACCTTGGGCTTGCAATTCAAGCAACTAGAAAGATCACGAAGTTCCACCACCCTCATATCACTAAGTAAATGTATATGAAGACAAGACATCATACTGTGTAGGGGGCTTAATTAGAGAGGAAAGAGATAGGTGATTTTTTTCATTTTTGGTCCTATAATTATAAAGTCCAAGGCAGGTAGGAGAAGAACCACTGTGGACCCTCATGGACCTGACTTCGGCCCAGTGGACCCCACAAGACTTGGGAGGGGCCATTCCCACCTCTGTGTGTGTCTAATGGGGGCGGGGGTGGCCAGGTTCAATTCCCATATTGCCTTCACCTGGCGCTTGTCCGTGGGGCATGAGCAATCTGCCTGTTTTAGTATGTAGGAAGGTAGGGCCTCAGGCCCCTGCATGCAGAGCCACAATGAGCACTAAGACAGACTAAGGCAACTTTTATACAGGGGGGCAGTCAGGAGCCAGAGGTGGTTCTTGAACCAGGGTATGACCTGCGTGGGTGGGCACTGCAGGGAAAATCACTCTGTTTTTATCCGTGGGTGGATGGGACCAAAGGACCAAAGCCCAAAGTCAGACGGACCAATCACCAGCAATAATCCCCGCCAGTGGAGAAAGGAATGCAGCCCCCATCCAACAGAAGGGAGCCTGAATCTCAGAGAAGCCGCCATCTTTCAAGAGCCCTGACTATACACAGCCAGAGATCTGAGAGTTCCAACCCTAGCCTTGCTATTTGTGGCCCAGGGAACACCTTCCAGGTGGCAGCTTCAGCTCCCAGTCTGCGAAGCCAGCTTTGAAGGGTCACTGGTGTCCATGTTGGAAATTGCGTCCCCCCCAACCCCCATCTTACTGGTGAAGATGATGAACTCCATGGGTAACCCAAATGTGACTCCCAGATGCCATGCCCCTCTTCCTTCCCTGAGCAAACACATCTGATGCCCCATAGGGCTCTGAGCCTTGGGGGCTGAGCCTCTGGTCTGTAGACCTGCCAGCTACTATCTTCCATGATAATTGTGTGTGTATCGGGAACAGCTCAGGTATAGAGATTCCCTCACCCTACTATTTTACAGAGTATTGGTCCAGGACAAAGTCATGTAATTAAAAGAGGTGGGGGCAGGGGGAGATGCAAAAACCAATCTCCTCTAAGGACTCTCCTCCTTCTGAATCCATTCATGAACTGTAACTGCAAAACAAACTCTTGCTGGGAAACCTGGTCAGCAATCCATGGTGGAGCCAAGACAGCCCCACTGTAGCTCAAAGCCTGAAGAACTAAAGCTGAAAACCCAGTTCGAATTGGTTTAGTCTCATTTATCCAGACCAGCTTCAAAGCATAAAATGTTTTCAAAGCACACAAAAATGATAAGGTGACAAAGTAAGTTGCCATCTGTCAGGAGGCCCGTGGCTCCCGGGGACCACGCTGACTTTCCTTACTCCTGGAAGTGGTTGACAAACTTCTATGCATCAAACCTGAGGCAGAGAGAGAGGCGGGAATCGTGGATTTCACGAGGCACATGCAGGGGTGTGGGCTGGATTCCACCAGGCTCCTGTGGGAGTTTGAAGCCAAAAGACTCCAAGAAGCTAGCTCTCCCCCACAGGGCACAGAGGGCAGGCCCTGTGCAGTGCCAGCTTGTCCCAGCCCGGGGTCCCCCACCCCACCCAGCAGCGACAGCCATGGCTTCTGCACCCTGCTGCCCCCTCAGCTCTGGAGCTCAGCGTCTGGTAAGAGGGAAACACTTACAGTCTTCTCAGTCCTGGAGGGAGGGAAGGAGGGTCTTGAACCCTTAGCCACCCTCACTCTACGGATGGGCAGAGCCCCAGTCAACCCTTACCAGTGCCCATTTGGAGCCACGGGCTGAGATCTGTAAACTTGGACTTGAAAGGACTGAGGTGAGTTCTAGGGAGTCTCGCGAGAGGTTGGCCTGGAGCCTGAGACCTTCACCCCCCACAGGGGAGCCCAGAGAACAGAGACACCAAAGCCTGGCCACACTGCTGGGCGCAGAATCCGGGAAGCGGATTCCTTTCAGTGTTGTTGTTGACTCTCTTTCCTTTTCTTAGATTGTCCTGCAGTCCAGGGCTGTAACGTGCTCCTTCCCACCCCTGGGGGGGTGGGGGGGAGGGCGGGGGGGGGCTCCCAGTCTCCTGGGAAGCCTTGCTGTTCCCCCAGTTTCAATTTGCACTCTCCTGCGGGGAAGTCCTCAGGCAGGCCTGTGGGCCGCAGAAAGCAGCCCCTTCTCCAAAAGCTGTCCTGGGCCTGTTTGCACACACACACACACACACACACACACACACACCATTTGTTGGGGGCCCCCGATTCCCAGCCCACCTCCACTCAGCCTGCACAGGAATGGGGGCAGACCTGACCAGCAGAGCCACCACCCCCTGAGACACACTGCCTCTGCTGCAGTCTCCTAGTCCTGGCTCACACCTCCATCCCCAGCCTGATTGGTGGACTGGACTGTCACTCTCCTCTTCACCAGCCCCTGCCTGCTTTGCCTCAGACACCCTAGTCCTAGCCAGAAGCTCCCTCCAGGACCAGGCCTCCACTCTGCCTGGGAAAGAGCAGGCCTGGGAAGGAGCAGCGGGGAGAGAGGTCCCCCGGTCTGCCTAGCACCTCCTGTACCCCCACAGCCAACTGCGATGGGTTAAGAGGGGCTTAGCATCAGATAAACCCCAGGGTCCGGACTCCTGCACTCAGCTGGGCAAGCCCCAGGGCTTGTAGAACGGTGATGGTGGGCCACCTCCTGGGGTCACCGGCAAGCTCGCGAGCAACTTCTCAGATCTCCAGGTGACCTCAGTCCAACCCAGCCCCGGGGCCCCTAGGCCTCCCACCCACCTGTGCAGACAGGGCCCAGCAGGGCCTGCCTGGAGATCCAACATGGACGCCGGGTGTCTGCCAGCCCTGCTGTGGCCTCTTCGTGGCTACACTGGCAGCTCAGCCCGGGTGAGAATCAGTTCTTTTTGTCCAGGGAGAACCTGTCACGGCCTCTCCCCACTATAACCCTGCTGAAGCCACGCGGGTGGGAATACCCTTGAAAGGAACCATAGAACCTCGTCTCCCTCCTCTCTAGCCTCTCTTCGTCTCTTCTTCCTTCCCTCTCTCCTCTCTCCCCTCCCTCCTTTATCTCTCTTTTGCTGCTTCTTCCTCCCCTCTCTCTGTTCTCGCTACTCTTCCCTTCTCTTTCCTTCTTTCTCCTTCCTCCTTTTCTCTCTAGCTCTCTCTAGATCGCTTTCTCTCTTCTTCCTCTCAACTTCTCTCTCTAGATCTCTCTCTCCTTTCTCTCTGGATCTCTCTCTCTCTCTCACACACACACACACACACATACACACACACACACACACACACACGGTTTGACTCTTGGTATCCAAGTGCTCATTTGTCATCGCGTGCTTCCTAGAGCTCACATCATGGCCCTGACCTACCTCAGACTTGAACCGCCCTGCGGTGAGGCCGCTACCATCACAGCTGGGATGGGTGACGTCTCCAGCGCAGGTGACAGACTGTGGGGAAGAGGCGGGGACCCGCGGCCAGCCCAGGCCCCACAGGCTCCCAGGTACCAAGAAGAGATGTGCTACCGGCTCACTGTTTTGTCCAGCTGGAGGCCCTGTGGTCAAGGACTGTATCTCATACACCCCCTTCTCCTTCTGCCTAAGTTGGGGGGGGGGGGGGCGGGAACAATTTGTAAGCAAGTAATACTGAAGGAAGGAAGGAAGGAAGGAATGTCAGGCACCTGTGGCTCATCCCTGTAACACCAGCTACTCAGGAGTCTAAGACCTTGAAGATCAGGGATCAAGGCCAGCTTGGGAAGAAAAGTCCATGCAACGCCATCTCCAAAATAACCAGCAAAAAGCTGAGCTGGAAGCATGGCTCAGGTGGTAGAGCACCAGCTGAGCCAGCCCACCCCCCCCCAAAAAATGAGTCCTATTTAGATCCTGTTGCCCCTCCTCCCCTTTTTTTGGACACCATTTTTATTTGTTTTATGTCCTGAAGTCCTGGATTCAAGACGTGTCTCTCCAACTGACCCATGGCTGGCTGGGCACTAGCCAGCTCATCCCTCCTACCTGTACAATGGGGAATACGCTTGCCTATAAGAGGGGTTTGGGGTATTCCCGAGAGAGGGCAATTGGAGTTGTGGCAGAAATGGCAGCACAAACGCCAGCTGGTCTTGATGTGGCCGCTGACATCCTCATCCCTACAGACATCCCATCACCCTAAATCTTTTCTCTAGTCCCCCAAGAACCACGCCACCTCAAAATCCAACCCAGGGCTTAAGTTAAATCACATTTAATTGTTCTTTTCCTGGGGGGAAGAGAAAATCAGAAAAGAGATTCACGGCAAGAAAGAGTTCACTAAAAAATAAAGGAATATATTAACCTTTGATTGGAAGAAACATGCACACACAATCTGCCTCACACGCGCTCCCTGTGTCCCACCACGCACACGAGTGCCCGCTGCGGTCACACACCTGCCGCTCACTCCCCCGGGCAGAAGCGACAGGGCCCCGGGAGCCAGCCCTCCCCCAGCCCTCCCCCAGCCCCCCGGACAGAACCGCACAGCTACACTAAGTCAGACTACAGGGAGCACTGCGGGACGCTCCAAGCCATGGGCGGATGGGAGATGGAGAGGCGGCAATGGGACTGGCCGACAGCCTTAGACGATTCTGTTCTCCAGGATGGACAGCCGCTTGCTCACCACTTCCAGTGGACTCGGCGTTAAGGAGAGGCATGGAGCAGCCAGAGCTGAGCAGGTATGGGCAGCCCTGCCCTGCCCCCCCCACAACCTCCTACTCTCTAGGTTCAGAATGGGGCCTTCCAGCAAATACAGACACCTATGGTCAGCCCTGGGGGGCGGGGTGGGGGAGGCAGACACTCAGTTGCAGGCTTTGCCCTGCAGGGTGGACCCCAGCATGGCCTGGGGTGCTGTGTGGGGCCAGCCCACCCCTGAGGAAGCTGGCTGTATCACCTGAGCCTGAGAAATGCCAAGTCCTCGGGGCGCCATGCTTTCCCGTGCAGGCCCAGGACTGTGTCTGCGCCCAGTCCCCAGAGCTTGGCTCTGCTTCGGTTTCTCTGTTTGCCCTCTGGGAAGCTCTCCTTCCACAAGCTCTGTAGCAGCCTGGCACTAGCCTAGCTGGCCAAAACCCAGAAAGCAACTGGCTGGGAGGAGCCTCCTGGCCCAACCCCAGGCCCCGCCCCCTCGCAGTCCCCCCAGAGACCCCAGAGCCCCTCCGGCTCCCCCAGCCTCCCCTGGCCCAGCACAACAGCTGGGAAAGGATATGTTTCCTGGTCAGGGCCTGCAGCAGCTCCTCCACTTTGGCCTCAAACTTCACTATGGACTCGCAGGCACAGGGGTCTTCTTCTAGAAGACAAATGAGAAGCAGTGAATGGCAGCCTGGGGCAGGGACGGTCACTACCCCTAGGTGGCGCTAGGGAGACACTGGGGCTTAGGAAAGCAGAGAAGGTGGAAGGAAGATGGCGGGAAGACAGCAGGCCCCTGACCAGAGCTCCTCCCAGTGAGGGACGAGAGCCCCTGAATGTCCTCCGAGACCCCAGAGCCCTGGCAGGAAACCGTGTGAGCACTTACCATGTGTCGGGTCACCTCAGTGGCTCTCACCCCAACCCTTTGGGCTTGGAATCAATAACCCCACGGCACAAATGGGACTCCAAGAGTGGAACCTCTTGCTAGTGGCTGTCAGTATTGGCCCCTTAGCCAAAACTCTCCCCCATGAGGCACCAGCGGTGGCCGGCATGGGGAAATCTCGGGGTCAGTCCTGGCTGCTCAGTGATCACCAACAGGTCCACCCGTCCAGACTCAGTTTCCTTGCCTACATCACAGCAGCATTTGGAGAGACTGACAATATTCGTATAAGAATGGCACAGCCAGGCGCCGGTGGCTCATGCCTGTAATCCTAGGATTACAGGAGGCTGAATTCTGAGGATCGTGGTTCAAAGCCAGCCTGGGCAGGAAACTCCGTGAGACTCTCATCTCCACCAAACCACCAGAAAACCAGAAGTGGCACTGTGGCTCAATGATAGAGTGCTCGCCTTGAGCCGAAGAGCTGAGGGACCAGGCCCAGAGTTCAAGTCCCATGACCGACAACAACAAACAGAATGGTGGACTGTGTGTGTCCGCCGCCCCAGCCAGCCCATCTCCTGGTACCACCCCCACCCTGCTTTTCCCCATCCACACTCAGACCCAAGCCAGCCCCCTTCACCCACACCCCTAACTCACCAACGCAGATCTTCTTCTGCAACTTCTTGCCGATCTGGTTGATGGTCTTGAAGTCGGCTGTGTAGAAGTAGTGTTCTGCCACGGGCTCCGAGGCGATTTCTCTCAGCTCATCTTCCACGGCATTGCCCACACCCACGGCAAACATCTTAAAACCTACAGAGGACCCACACACCTGTTACTACTAGGTTATGGCAGCCCTACGGCCAAGCAGACACCGTGCACCTCCTAGTGGCAGTGCCTGGAATTGCAGGGGCAAAGCCTGGGACAAGAACTTGACAAGCCCCTTCCTGGATTGGTTCTAGGGCACAGTAGTCAGAAAAATACCAAGATGAGCTGCAGTCACGCTGTACCCATGTGTGTTCCTGGCCATCAGCGGAATCCAGGTGGTACCTACCAAGATCCTTGGCCTTCCTCGCCGCATCATTGATGGAGTCCTGGCTCCGGCCATCGGTAAAGACGATGCCCACCTTCTGGGCCCCGGGCCTGGCCCCACTGGACACAGTGAAGGAATTGTCAATGAGATACTTGAGGGCAGCCCCGGTCATGGTGCCCTTCTCCATGTAGGACATGTTCCTCACAGCGGCCTTGATGTCCTTCTTGGTGTTGAAGCGACCCAGTGGGAACTCCTGGCGCACCGAGCTGGAGTACTGCACCAGCCCAACCTGGGCCAGCCTGTCAGACACATCCAGAGTGTCCACAATCTGGTTGATGAACTTCTTCACCAGCTCAAAGTTCTCCGGCCGCACACTCTTGGATCCATCAATGAGGAAGACCAGGTCAGTGGCTGAGCTGCTACCGCCACCACTGCAGACTAGGAGGGTACAGAAGCAAAGAGACAGAGGTCGGCCACTGGCTGGGCACACACTCCCACGGGAGGGCCACCCTCCTCACGATGGAGAGCCAGCATTCCTGGACCCATTTTGCAGTACTGGAAGTGGTCAATAAATCACTCAGCTCAGAAGTGGTGGCCCTGAGATCTGAACTCAAGACTTCTACCATACTATATCCCATTGGAACTCTGCAGACACCAGATTCTAGAAGCACTCTCTTTCTTCCTCTCCTCACCATCTCCCTCTCCCTCTCCCCCCCTCCTCCTTTCTCCTCTCTCCTCTCTCTTGTGCCAGTACTGGGGGGCTTGAACTCAGAGCCTCACACTCTTGCTTGGCTTTTCTACTCAAGGCTGACACTCTACCACCTGAACAACTCCACTTTCCAGCTTTTTGCTGATTAAGTGGAGATAAGAGTCTCACAGATGTGTCTGCCTCAGGTCTCAGCTTCCTAAGCAGCTAGGTTTGCAGGCACAAGTCACTAGTGCCCAGTTGCTATCCGCCTCCTTGAAGGACTGGTTCAGAGGCAAAGTGAAGAGGAGCTTAGGTGGATTTCCTGGGGCACCCGAGGCCCCGTCCCCTCCCCCTCCCTCCTCAGGGTTTGCCTACTTCCCGCACTGACCATTGCATGTCTTGCCATCACTGTTCAGGGTGAAGCCTTCATGGCAGGCACAGGTGTAGGAGCCTGGGGAGCTGACACACACCTGCTCACAATCATGATCTCCTGTGGCACATAGGTCTGACACCACTGGGGGGGAAGAAGGGGGACAAGGGGAGGTCAGTCCTCACAATCACAAGGATATCCTGGACATCTCAGCCTCCCTGCCCAAGGAGACCAGCGCCCCGGCACATGCGGGGAAAATGAGACCTCTGAGTGGATGGGGTGCAGGAGCCTCCTTTCATCTGTCTTGGACACTGCTGCACCCCAAGGGTACCACTCACACAGCAATGGGCACAACCCGACACAAACGTGTGGGAAACCAGGTACTGCATGCCCTCACCGGATCCAAACAGTAGGTAGGTGCTCTACTTAGACCCCCTTTGCAAATGGGTCCCCGCCCCATCTCACCCAAAGCCCCATCCATCCCTTTGGGCTGGTCATACCCCTAAGACTCCTGATGTAGAAACACGTGTATGTTTTTAAGGCGCTCCCTCCCTCCACTCCTGAGATGAGGCTCGCCCAGCTATGGCCCCCCTCCCTTGCTCTGACCTAGGTCCCAACGCCCTCCTCAGCCGTGGTCCAGCCCTGATGCTCACAGTCATGCCAACGCTCAGCATCTGCCCTTCAGAGGCCAAGATCCTGACCAGGCCTCTCCCTCTTGGCCTGGCCCTGCCCTTACTCCAACTCCCAACCTCCCCGCCCCTCTGTCCGGGCCCCGCCCCCAGCCTTGACCCCGCCCAACACGACAGGTCATAGCCACGCCCCCACGCCCAGGCTCCACCCTGCCCTGGTCCAGGCCCCGCCCTTGTCCCCCGCCGCGCCTTGCGCACCGCAGAAGGCCTCCTGGAACTTCTTGGACAGCTTCTCGATGACGCTGTAGCTCTCCACGTAGTCCACGTGCTCGTCCTGCGGCTCGCTGGCCATCTGCCGCAGCGTGGCCTTGTCCACACGGCCCACGCCAATGGCGAACAGCTCGATGCCGCCGGCCCTGGCCCGTGCGGACACGTCCCGCACGCTGTCCTGGGGCCTCCCATCCGTCACCACGATGACCACCTGCAACACGGGTGGGCTGTGAGGACCTGCCGGCCCTCTACAAGCCAGGCCCCGCCCTCTACACCCCTGGGCCACGCCCCCACACACCTGGGACCACGCCCTCCTTATCCCCCAGGCCACGCCTGCCAAGCCCTTGAGCCACGCCCTTCGCTGCCTCTGGGGCCACGCCCTTCGCTGCCTCACCACGCCCCACGCCTCTGGGGCCATGCCCTCACACCCCTGGGGCCACGCCCTCCACACTCCAGGCCACGCCTGCCAAGCCCCCAGGCCACGCCCTTCGCTGCCTCACCACGCCCCCACGCCTCTGGGGCCACGCCCTCACACCCCTGGGGCCACGCCCTCCACACTCCAGGCCACGCCTGCCAAGCCCCCAGGCCACGCCCTTCGCTGCCTCACCACGCCCCCACGCCTCTGAGGCCACGCCCTCACACCCCTGGGGCCACGCCCTCCACACTCCAGGCCACGCCTGCCAAGCCCCCAGGCCACGCCCTTCGCTGCCTCACCACGCCCCCACGCCTCTGGGGCCACGCCCTCACACCACGGGCCACTCCCTCCACATTCCCAGGCCTTCCAGGGCCTGAGAAGCATAGTGACCTGTCCAGGGTCTGTCCAGCTGGTCTGGTTGGAGCACTTGGATCTTTCCCCCGCCAGAGCTCGGCCCCGGGGAACGGAACCGGCTAGATGAGAGGTTTCCTCAGACGGAAGGGGACGTGGCTCAGGGGATCCCCGGTCTGTGAGGGGCCTCAGACAGGCAGCTCTCCGCTCTCGGGGCGGGGACGGCTCCTGGGGGCCCAGCTCTGCAGACCAGGCCATGCCGCCGTCCCCCTGGGAGCCGGGCGGGAGCGAGGAGGGCCGGGCCGGCCAGTGCGGGCGCCCCGCGCAGTGTAGTTCTGCAGCGCGGCCGGCAGAGGGCGGCCGAGGCTCGCAGACCGGCCGCGGCTCCGACTCACCCAGGCCCAGGCGGGCGCAGGGAGGGAAGGGGGCAGCCCCTCTCCCCGCGCTCCTGCTCCGGGGAGGAGGCCGCACGCTCAGACCCGCCGCCCGCGGAAAGGCGCTAACTCTCCGGCTCGCCCCCCGGAGCCCCCACCGCCTTGCCCCGCCTGGCCCCTCCTGCTGCAGCTCGGTGCTGTGTGGATCCACTCAGAACCGCGCCAGAGGCTTACGCCCTCCCTGCCTCAGTTTCCTCCCTGGGAGCTGGGTTACCATCTCTGGGCAGGACCGTGCTTGCTGGCCCACTGGGCTGGAAGCAGGGGACACCTAAGAAAGGAGCCGGTGGCTCACGCCTGTAATCCCAGCTGCTCAGGAGGCTGAGAGCTGAGGATCAGAGTCTGCAGCCGTCTGGGGCGGGAAAGTCTGGAAGACTCTTATCTCCAATTCACCACCAAAAAAAAAAGCCAGAGGTGGTGGAGCTGTGGCCCAAGTGGTAGAGCGTCAGCCTTGGGTAGGCCTAGGACCTGAGTTCAAGCCCCAGGCACACCATGCAGACAGACAGACAGACAGACAGAGGAGAGATGCTTGGCCATGTCTGGGGCCCTCATTCTGCTCTGACCGGGGGCCCAGGCTTCAGTGCGGACAGGGTACATCCGATCTTTGTAAACTGACCTCTCCTGTGACCCTCATCTCCAAGGTGGCCTTACACCAGAATCAGCCAGAGCCCCCCGAGGTGGGGGGGGGGCACTGACCTTGCTGATGTCGGGGGACCTGCTGCGACCACCCTCCGCATCGCTGAGGGCCTTGGTGATGGCAAACTGCAGGGCGAGGCCGGTCATGGTGCCGGTGGACAGCGGCCGGAGGCGGCTCACCGCCTGGAGCAGCGCGGCCTTGGAGCTGTGCGCGCGCAGCGGGAACTCCTGCTGCACGGTGCTGGCATAGTTGACCAGGCCCACCCGCGTGGCGTTGGGCCCCACCGCCAGCGACTCGATGACCTGCGACAGGAACACCTTCACCTTCTCGAACTCCACTGGCCGCACGCTGCGAGAGCTGTCCACGACGAACACCAGGTCCGTGGGCCGCGTCCGACACAGGTGCCCTGGTAGGGAGAGAAGAGGGCAGCAAGGCCCGGCTGGCTTGCAGAACACCCCCTCCCCACCTCCAGCTCAAGATCCTTCCAGACCTGTGCCTCGGTTTCCTTATCTGTGCAGTGTGCTGACAGCCCCTCCCTAGAGAGCCGGGCGCTGGTGGCTCACGCCTGTAATCTTAGCTACTCAGGAGGCTGAGATCTGAGGATCGCAGTTCAAAGCCAGCCCAGGCAGGAAAGTCTGTGAGACTCTTATCTCCAATAAACCACCAGAAAACCGGAAGTGGCGCTGTGGCTCAAGTGGTAGAGTGCTCGCCTTGAGCTGAAGAGCTGAGAGACAGCGCCCAGGCCCAGAGTTCAAGCCCCACGACCGACAAAAAAAAAAAAATCCTTATAGAATCACCGAGGGCTGGCTCCTCACCAGTGTCCTAGGGTAACCGGGGTGCCACAGCCTCCAAAACACACTTGTCAGTCTCCAGAAAGCAGGGAACAAATGTGGCGACCATCTACATGGTCCCTGTCACCATCAGCAGGTGGAGGTGGAGGCTGGCTCGGGGCTCCCTGGGCAGGGAGGGAACAGCAAGCCTTGGCGGCCATCTCCACAGCCTGCCCAATGAGCCGTGTCCCTTTAGATGCCCAGGGTGGCAGTTGGCAACACCTGTTTGTTTGTTTGTTTGTTTGTTTGTTGCCAGTCCTGAGGCTTGAACTCAGGACCTGGGCTCTGTTCCTGAGCTTCTTTTGCTCAAGGCTAGCACTCTACCATTTGAGCCATAGCACCACTTCCAGCTCTCTCTGAGTATGTGGTACTGAGGAATCGAACCCTTCATGCATACTAGGCAAGCCCTCTACCACTAAGCCACCTTCCCCGCCCCCTGGTAGCCCCTTTCTGAGCCCCAGTTTTCTTGTCTATACAGTGGGAAGATTCAGAGGCCGTCTAGCCTGGCCTGGGCCTGCAGCCCAGTGGGGCTGTGCGCCCAGCGGGGCTCCCCCCAGCCCACTCTCCGCCTGTATCCCAGAGGAAGGACGCAGCAGGGGCGGGAAACGCGAGACCCACGCGGCTCTCCTGGCCACTAAACCGCAGTACCCTCCCGTGGCAGCGCCGGCATCAGACTTCAATGCCTTCCTGCTAACAACTGGACCAACCAAGGTGCAGAGTGGGAAAGGGACCTGGCCTGTGCCACAGGGCGGTAGATTGAGCCTAGAAGCTCCAGTCTTGCTGGGTGGCCGCAGGCAGGTTTTCTTTAGCCTCAGTTTCCCCATCTGTACAAGAAGAGCTGAGCATCCTAGATTCCATGCCCAGAGCTGAAATGCACGATAGAGCGGTGTCCCCTCCCCCGGGGAGCCCCAAGCTTGGAAGGGCTGGCAGGGAGAGGGATCGCTCAGCACCCCCAGAGCCGCCCTCATCAAAGACACCAGCCCTGGGCCTGGCACTGCGCCCGTCACCAGTGTCTCTCCGGAGATCCAAGGCCCCTGCACCAGGCCGGAGCCCGCATCCTGCCCGGGCACTGCCCAGCCCCTGCCAACACCCCCCTCCCGGAGCCCCCCTGGAGCCTGTTTTCAGTCTATCCACGGCTCAGAGTCCGCACTCACGCAGGGCCCTCACCTCTGGGCTGGGGGCTGATGCCAAGGCCAGGTGATGCTTGGAGCAGCAGCAGCAGCAGCAGCAGCAGCAGGCGGCAGAGCACTAAGCTGCTGGCAGAGCGGGCCGTCATGGCTGCTGTGGTGTGGGCAGAGTGGGGAAGGTGGGGGGGTGACCCCAGTCTTATCAACCTGGTTGGGGGGGAACGGTGCCCCTGCCCCCCGCCGCAGCCCCCCGGGGGCGGGGCCCGGCTGAATGGAGGTGTGTGTGCAAACAGCCTGGCCGGGGAGGGCGGGGCGCCTGGCCACAAGAGCCCTTTGCCTGCCCCGGCCAGCAGAGCCGCAGCTGGAATTCAGGAAATCTCAGGTGGTGGAGGGGGTGGGGTGGGTCCTCTGGGGGCTGCAGCCAGGGCTGACTGTGTGCCAGCTCCCAGGACATCCACCCTGCCGGCCACCCCCATCCATCCCACACCAGAGCCTGCGCCACGGCAACTCCAGCTTCTGTCTCATTCGGCGTACACTTCTCTCTCGCACACGCCCAGCTCCAGGCTCCCTGCCCCATCTCTCCCCACACACCTCTCTCTCGCTCTCTCTCTCGCTCTCCTAGATTCCTTGCAAAGTGGCCGCTGGACCTTTGCACAGGTGGGACAGCCTGCAAGACACAGCCTTTCTTCCTGTTAACTCTGCCCGGCTTCCTCCTTCTGGATCCCAGGGACACTAACGGGTACACCTCCCTGCCCTCGCATAGCTCCAGGAAGACAGGAAGGAGGGGATGAGGCTGTAGAGGCCAGGCCACCTGAGCTTGCTCTACACAAGCTGTGTGACCATGGGCAAGTCCCTTCACCTCTCTGGGCCTCTGGTTCCTCACCTGAGCACCCAGCATCCAGGGGATGTTGGTGCCTCCCTCCTTGGGTTGAGCTGGGAGCAGGGCAGAAGAGTCTCAGCTCATCCTCATGACAACCCTGGGAGCCAGAACTACTAGAACGTCCATTCCCAGCTGAGGAGACTAAACAGAGAGGTGAGGTAACTTGCCTGAAGTCACACAGCTGAGAGGGACCCTTGTGGGTAAGGGCCTGTGTGCTTGGCCCTCCTGCTCACTGCCTGGTGCTTGCCCAATCCCAGCAGCAGGTGGGCCTCACACAGAGAAGACAATAGGGCTGGTGCTGAGCTTGGTTGGCTTTGGGGCCCACCTGGTGACATGTCAACCCACTGTGAGACATTGAACTTAAACTGGACATTCAAAGGAAGGAGCAGCCTTTGAGAGGCGCCAAGGGTCAGATTCAGGAGCCCCACGGTTGCAGAGGGTGAGGGCTGGGGGCGGGGCGCTTGCCCCGCATGCACAGGGATTCGGGGTCCCGTCCCCAGTACTGGAGAGGAGGGAGGGAACGGCTGGGCACTGTGGTGCATGCCTGTAAGCCCAGCCACCCAGGAAGCAGGGGTCAGGAGGATCACCGTTCAAGGCCAGCCAGCATAAAACATGCAGTATCTAGGGATGGTAGCATGGCCGTCCACCCAGAAGACACAGATAGGACTGTGGTCCGGGCTGGGGGGGCACACACAAGACTCCACCTCAAAGATAACTGAAATAAAAAGGCTGGAGTCGCACCTCACACAGGAAGGAACCCACCTAGCGAGCATGAAGTCTTGAGTTCAAATCCCAGTGCTGTCCAACACCATCAAAAGTAGGGAGAAAGAGAGAGAATAGAGAAACAAGACAGAGGGGACACTGCTGTCCCTCACGCGGAAAAGTAGCTCTGTCTGTCTGCCTGGCGGGACCCCATGAGCAATGCGAGGGTGTCAGGAGGCTGAGGGCAAAGGTCGCCATCGTGGGGTCACAGGTCACCACCTTTCCAGTGTAGGGATTCTCCGCAGCACACCCAGCCGGCGGGCCCTGAGCTTGCCCTGGGGCGGGCAGCACGCATGCTCCCAGTGCGCTCCCAGCAGACCAGACGGGGAATGTTAGCCCACTTGCAGATGGAGGGCCTCCATCTAGCTGGAGGCCGCATGGCCGAGACTGGACGGCAGCCTCTCCCCTCCGTGGAAGAGAGAGAGGAGTCCACGGTGGGGCCTCCGTCCCCCTCGGGCCTCCGCGGCCCCTGACTCCCCAAGTCCAGAAGCCAGGAGGTGCTGGCCGCTCCTCTCTGCAGCGCTGGACAGTCCTCTCCTCCAGAGGGGCCGCTGGGCCCCCCCGACCCTTCCCAGGGTCCCCCTGTCCGGCTCCCCACCTTCCCCCCACTGCCCTGCGAGGGAGAGATGCCGAGAAGAGAAGTAATCGTGACAAGTGCCTTCTGTGTCTCCACAGCCTGGCCTGGGTCCCAAGACAGGCAGCACTAGTGACCAGTGAGTGACAGATCTGGGGAAAGCCATCCGCCCAGCACAGAGCCAGGACAGGGCCCAGGCCCGGCAGGACAGGGCCCAGGCCCGGCAGGACAGGGCCCAGACCCGGCAGGACAGGGCCCCGGCCCGGCAGGACAGGGCCCAGGCCCGGCAGGACAGGGCCCCAGGCCCCGGCCAGCCGCCCCTCCTGAGCCAGGTAGAGGGGCCTGTGGGCCAGGCCCAGCTGGACCCATGAATCCCGCTTTCAGCTGCTCTCTGAATGGCGCTCTGTGTGCGGGGAACACAGGGCCTTCTCAGCGGCGTCGTTGCCTCGTTGGGAAGCGGAGCCCAGAACCAGGCCCGAGGTGGGCTCTGAGGAGCAGCGCGGGCAGGCTCCGGAGAGAAGGGCGTCTTTCACATCCACCACCAGGGCCTGGGCTGGACGACACCTGGAAGGTCAGTATATACATCGAGGAGGGAAAATCAATATTTGCGCTGTTTAAACGTGAGACATTTTTTTCTCTCTCTCTCAAAATCAGGAACAGTGTGTCCGGTGACCGGCCAGAGAAACCAGAGGTGAAGGGGACGCCCTTCACGGGTGCCGGCAGGTTGGTGGGCAGCCAGCCCCCTCCCCCGCCCGGCCCCCACTCCCTGCCTGTGTCCACATCTGGTCTTTCCAGAAATTCTCTCAAGCCTGAAGTGCTGTAGGCAGGACAGAGCACTCTGCCCCGGGTCATGAGGCTCAGTGGGAAGCACAGGACTCCCTCTCCAGTGCTCCTGGTCTTTTCTCCTAGTGGACACATCTGGCCACTATGGCAGAACACGGCCTCTCCCGCGGCAGACACTCCCTCCGCCCAGGAAACCCCGGCCACAACTTCGCTGAGTCCACATAAACCCTGTAATTATGATTTGTTTAATCTTTAATTAACTCTGAAGCAGCTCGCTTTTTTAAATTATTATTAAAAGCTCTCCTCGGCCTAAAAAAAGGAATAGCCATAAAATCACTGGGTTTGAGGTAGGTTTACATGTTTATTCCAAGATGCCTTCAAATCAGCTCCAGCTAATTCAATTGACCCTCCCTCCCTGCCCCCACTTTTCCCTGCTCTTGTGTGGCACTGTAGTCTTCATGCTAAGGCCACAGGCCGGCTTATGAAAGAGATCTGTGAATGTGTGAGTGTGAACCATAGACGCTGGGAGTTGGGAGAGGCTGCAGTAGCAAGCAAGCCCAGAGTCACGTGCTAAATCCACGCTTTGTTCGCTCTCACAGCCAAGCCTGAGTTAGGCAGGCAGGTGCTTTGAGCCTGGACCTTCTCCAACTTCCTCCATCCGTGCCCTACCACTTCCACGTCCTACAGAGACAGCAGTGTCTCAACCCACTGTCTCAGGTAAGCTGCGCACCTGTCACCGGCTCTTCCTCAGCGCCCAGCCGTGGGAACCGGCTGTCAGGAACAACCTCCCCCAGTCAGAAGAAGATAGCTGTCTAGAGCCCTCAGATCAGATCAGAATTCAGCCTTCATGCCAGCACCATGGTACACACTGGTATTTCCAGATGCTGGGGAGGCTGAGGTACAGAGGATCGCTTGAGCCTCTGTTTGAAGCCAGCCTGGGCAATATAGAAAGACATTACTCAATCCTTAACTTCTTGGGGGAAGGAGTCCTGTAACCCCAACGGTTCCGCCTCCATAGATTGCACAGAGTTCAATGCGGGCCTGGCTGTGGGTTCCCTAAGAGGAAGAGCAAGGACCAGAGAGGTCCAGAGCGCCCAGTGCACGTCCAGCGCGGCCAACAGAGTCCAACCCCAGCCCCGCACGGGGCCGATGGGTGACTTCCTCATAGTCCTTCCTGCCTGGCCCCCAAGAACGCACCACCACATGCCACCGGGAGCCACGGGAAGCCCCGGGAAGCCACGGGAGATCCGTGGACAGGGCAGGGGTTGAGGGGCAGATCTGCCACCAGCACGGGCCCCCGGGAGACAGGCTGAGCTTCTCCATCCAACAGCCTGTTTCGCTTGGGCGACCGCCCTTCCCTCTACGGCGGCCTCTCCCCCCCTCCCCCCCAGCTGTCAAAGAGTGGCTGTCTGGGCCTCAAGCGAGGCATTGATGGCCCAAGAGAGCTGCCCCGGAGATCCGATGGCCGCTGGCTTACCTTGGCGGGCTGTGCGGACTTCACACACAAGCACACACACACACACACACACACACACACACAACACCAGGGCACAATCCCGCCACACAGCTCACTGGGGCTCCGGCAGCCAGGAGTGGGGGAGGAGGAGGGAGCATTCCAGGGGCTCCTGGGCCTCAGGACACACAGCCACAGCCTCTTATTCCCCTGCTCCTCTTCCTACGACCACTGCTTTTCCCCCTGATGGGGGCTTCTGGGGAGGGGCTCATCCTAATGATCTTCATAAAGCCGAGAGCTCACATAGGCTAAGGCCCTGCTCTGTGTCCACAGCCTTCACTCGGGGTAAGAAAAATGGTGCCAGGGTTCATGGCTGTGTGAGCTTGGGAAGGTCACTTGGTATCTCTGGACCATCCCCAAGAAAAACCAACAGCTCTCCAACCCCAGCCCTCTCTGCTACCCTGCAGGATCTCTTCACTGGCCTCCCTAGGGTCCTAAAACCCATCCGGCCCTGCAGCTCCCCGCTGGGGACATCCAAGCCACACAGGGTACAGGAGAATGCAAAGGAAAGAGGAGTTTTTTTTATTTTGTTTTGTTTTTTGTTTGGGATTTTTGTTGTTGCTGGTGCTGCTGTTGTTTTTGTCAGTCCTGGGGCTTGAACTCAGGGCCTGGGCATTGTCCCTGAGCTTTTTCACCCAAGGCTGAAGCTCTACCACTTAGAGCCATGGTGCCACTTCTGGGTTTCTGGCCTAGGCTGGCTTGGAAACACAATTCTCAGATCTCAGCCTCCTGAGTAGCCAAGAGCTGTTTTTGAGACACTTCAGTCTTGGATCTGGCCGTGCCTGATGCCAAAAGTACCTGGACTTTTTATTTATGGTGACAGCTAAGAACCATGATCACTTTGAGGGGCTAGGAGTAAAAATCTGGGTTCACTGAGGCCTCTGTTATTTGTACCTCCCCTACCCCGAATTCCCAGGAATACCTTTCAGGACAAAATCAGCCAAGGTGAGCAAATGACAGCCTGAACACCCATGCCTGCCTTCCCTCCTTCCCTCCCCCTCCCCCACCGCCGGCCACAGAGCTCCTGTCCCAGAGGGGATGGGGGTGGGGGGCAGGCTGAGCAGCTCCTCCCCGAGGTGGGGTCGTTCTCAAGGTTTGTGGACCTGCTCACTCACCCCGGCCCACCCTCCATCCATGATTAATTAGAAGCAAGTCACCGCAGCTCCCAGGGCAGGCCCTGGCTCTGGGCAGGTGCCGTCCGGGTAAGTGGAGCTGAAGCCTGACTTGGAAGACAGCAGGCCACTCACACGGTCAGCCAGGCTGAGCTGACACAGCGCCAGGGCACGGTGCTCACACGCAGGGCGTGGGCCCTGGACGTTTCTGGACTGAAGGAGCCCATGGAGGTTGGGGGGGGGGGTTGGAACAGAAGTAGAAGGAGGAAGCCACCCCTGGCCTGCCTGTAACACCCCAGGAGCCAGAACCAAGCTTGCTGCTGTTTTATTGAAACCTCTTTTTTGAGTGATACACAAAGCAATGACACGGGGTACGGGGGGGGGGGGCAGCCTCTGCTCCCCAGCAGACTCAGAGACCAGCGTGGGGGCTTTAACTCCCCTGAGGGAGGATCGCAGCCCACGGGGAAGCAGACAGGGGAAGGGGATGGGTGGAGCACACCCCCCCACACCCCCCCACACCTCCAAACACCAGCCCCTAGAGCAGGCTTTGCACCCGCCCACAGAGGGTTTCCTTGACTGACTGAATGCTCCAACACACCGGCCTGTTGGGAGTCCAGCCTGAGGTTCGCTGGACCACATCCTTGGGCAGAAGATGTGATCAGCCGGGCAGGTAGGGTGGATGGACAGCTGGCTCTGGCTGCTGAGGGAACCCAGTCAGGGAGCTTGCCAGGCACCGGCCAGCCCTGGGCAGTGGTGAGGACAGCTTCTTAGCAAACACTCTTGTGTGCAAAGTGGATGCTGGTGATGGAAATAACCATGATTTCCTGCAGAGAGTGGGCAGCCATTTGGATCCCCCTTGAATTAATCCGATCGGGACCACTAAACCAGCCAGCCTGAGTGGCCAGTGGCTGGGTTAGTTGGGTGCAATCGTTTGCAGGACAAAATGAGCTTTATCATGATGGGTTTTTTCCTGCAGAGAGCTTGCACTTGAGGACTTGCATGTTCACTTTGCTTTTTCCGCTCAAGGCTAGGGCTCTACTACTAAAGCCACGGATCTATTTTTGGTGGTTTATTGGAGATAAGAGTCTCACAGACTTTTCTGCCTGGGCTGGCTTCACACAGTGATCCTCAGCTCTCAGTCTCCTGATTCATTAGGATTACAGGCATGAGCCAGCAGCGCCTGGCTTCATCCTAATGCTCAGTGACAGGTGGTTGGTTGGATTGCTCATTGTTTAACCAAATTATTTTACTGGTCTGATCGGTGTGGCTTACTTCTCAGCTGCTTGGTTCAATGGATCAAGCCAATGGCTGTCTGACCAAACTCACCAAAAACCCAGAACTGTCATCTGAAAAGTAGCATTGCTCATGGAAAAGTAGCCCAACTGTTGGAGTAGATTTTTTTTTTTGGAGCATTTTGAAGAGCCATTCAGCTGAAGGGGACCCAACTGTGAGTGAGCCGGAGAGGGGTGCGCAGCAGATGGTCCTGTAATTAGCTAGGCGGCCACCCCACCAAAGCAAAGCAGCAGCTGTGGAGCACGGGCCCCTCCCAGCTCCAGGGCTGGGGCCTGGCCTGGTCACACCTCTGAGTATGGGGGCGGAGCCGGATTCCCCTCTGGAGACTTGGAGGGCAGAGACAGGGCTTCCTCGTAGGTTGGCAGGGCCACCTGGGAGAGACAGAGAGACGGAGAGGAGGGCTGAGCACCGCCCTGGGGTCCAGGAACTCAAACTCCACCTCTGTGACAGCCACCCCCTGGGAACTCCCTAGCCAGGTTTGTGTAACAAAGCGCCATCTTCCCTGAGGAAAGGTCTCCGCGCACATACTCTCGGAAGCAGCACTCCCGTCCCTCACATCCACAGAATCCCACCTCCCCGCCCCTGGCGATCATCACTGGCCTAGGAACAGGCAAGTGACAGAAGCTGAAGGTGGTGGTGGTCCAATCAGATGTATTTCTCTCTGTTCTAGTTACCAAGAAGGGTGGGATGTCAGCCTAAGGGGTTTGGGCAGCTGTGTTGTCACCATGGAGAAGGGCTGTCTGAGCTAAAGGAAGCAGAGTCAAGGGCTGGAGGGGTGGAGATCACATCCTAATGCCAGGACTCCTAAGGCCTGACCCGGACTTAACTTACTGAGTTAAGTTTCTGTCACTTACGACCAAGGATGTCTAAACTAATACAACCTCCACTCTGCAGAAAAGAAGTGGGATCCTTTGGAACAGCTGTTCTCCTCCATCACTTCCCAAACAGAAGCTTCCAAGTGCCTTCCTGTCCTCTGTCTAGAAAGCATCCTCCCCCACCCCAGCTAACTCAGACTCACTCACCATCCAAGGTGAGGCCAAAGCTACCTCCCCTAGAAAGCCTTCGCTGATGTTCCCCATAGCTAGGACTAGGTTCATACTTTGCACCCAGTTACAGACATAGCTCTATTGATGGGTTCAGTCGGCCCTGTGTAAGTCTTCTAGGGAAAAGGTGGTAGCTCAGTTTTCTCTGCACCCCAGAAATGGACATGAATTCAAAAGAGAAGCAGTAAATTCTGAATGAGAAGATGGGTAGATAGGTGAATGGATGGATGGATGGATGAATGAGTAAACCGATGATGGATGAATGGATAAATGGATGGATGGAGGATGACAGATGAATGAATGAGTGGATGATGGATGGATAAATGGATGGCTAGATGGACAAATGGGTGGATGACTGGATGGATGGATGGATCATGGATGAATGGATAGATGTAGGAATGGACAAATGGCTAGATGAGGGGATGCGTGGATGGGATGGACAGGTGGACAAATGGATGGATGACTAGATGTGTGAATGGATAATGGATGAATGGATAGATGGATGTGTAAATGGATGAATAGGTGGATGGATGGATGAGTAAAAGAATGAATGGATGGGCAGATAGAAACATACATGGATAAATGAGTGGGTGAACGGATAATCGATGGATGAGTGAACGTGTGGGTGAATTAGATGGATGAATGGATAGATAAATCCTAGATGATTAGACATGGAAACACACACTCTTCTTCTGTCTGACCCTTATGAGAAACTGAGGTCCCCAGCGGCCCGAGCGGCCCAGGAAGGGTTTGGTGGAGCGGGGCTCATCCTGTGGGCAGGCTCACCTTCGAGATCATCTTGGAGCTGCTCCTCTCGGCCTCCGAGTTCATGTGCTTGATGAGCTGGTAGCATCGCCACACGCACTTGAACATGTAGACCTGGAGAAGAGCCGGGCCCAGGCTGAGCCTTTCCCATCCTCCAGCTCACTACCCCCAGCGGCCGGGGGTGGATGCCGGCTGCCTTCTGGGGAGCCTCCCTCACCCCCTGCTGCTCAGATCTCCCTACTACAGCTCGGGTCCAGAGCAGTCCAGCCCTTCCCCTGGCCCTCGGCCGCCACGCAGCCACGGCTTTATGGGACTTGAGTTCTCCTCCAGGCCCCCAGTCATGGCCATTCAGATCCTGTCTGATATCCCAGTGATGGGGAGCTCACTCCCTGAGGGATCCCTCCCCACCCTGAGTCAGAGAGGATGGTGGGAGAGGCCCAATTCAATAAGGCCCTGACTGCAGCATTCATTTAAGGCCGATCACAAAGCACCCGAGATGGCCCCCTGGCCCCTCCATTGGGTACACTGTTTCAAATCCACACCACTGTGTCTCCATGTCTCAAACCTGGGGCCGGAAGCTGGACCGAAAGGTCGTGGGTCTGACCCCCTCAAAAAAATGAGACCATGCCCCTTTCTCCTTCCACCGCCCAAATTCTATCACGTGACCACAGATCCCAGCATCACCCATAGCTGTGACGTGGACCTCCCCCAAGGCTTCAGAGAGACTGGACGGGTGGGGGGAGGAAGGACTCAGATAAACCTGGGTCTGCGTTCAAATCTTACCCAGATGCACTGCTTGATCAGCACACTGGCCTGTATTATACACTGAGCCCTAACATCTGAATCCAGGGGCCCCTGCAAGCCAAGTCCAGACACAGGATGTCCCCAGGGGTCCCCCTGGAGTCGGGAAGAGCTGGTCAGGGATTAAAGAAAAGAGAGGCTTTGGGAACCTGGAGCTGGGCCACAGCCTCTGTTTGCAGAGCCATAGGATGAGGACCACTCACCTTGAGGATGAGAACCGCGATGAAGGCGATGGAAAAGATGATCATCATTTTGACAAACTGGCTCTGAGACATGTCCTCCTGTCTCGGGAGATAATTCTGCAACAGATGTGGTGGCTACATCAACACCACCCCTGGCCCTTAGGAACTCTAGCCACGCCCCCACAAGCAGATGTGACCATCAGCCTCATGGGGAAGATGACCCGACTCAAAGAAGGAGATCAGCTGATGCCCTAGGGGTCCTAGTTCCGGGAAGCTGGGCACCGTGACAGCTGGCGGTATTGGCTGCCCGGGGGACACACTGTACTGTAACCAATGGGACAGTCTTGACTCCTGCCAGGCGCCATCTGATCCTGCAGTAGTCGGGAGATGACACCCCCAGACCAGCAGTGCCCAGCTCACTCTGGATGAGATGACCTCTGGGGGGAAGTCTTGCCCTCTGCTCCTGAGAGTGGGCGAGGGCTGAGGAAGGGCATGGAGGAGGTGGCGGGTGGGTCCTCATGTCCTCCCTCACGCCAGCCCTCTGTGGGGAAGGGTCTTGTGTGAGTAGTTGGGCAAGGAGCCCTCAGTCCAGTTCCATGGCCATTCTGACCTGGCCCTGAATCAGGAAGTCAGCAAGCCACTCCCAAGTTCCTGGGCCTTGGAAACGGGGAGGAGGGTAGGGAGGTGGGTGGGGGGCAGATTTGGGATCAGCCCAGGCAAAAAGTTAGCAAGGCTTCATCTCAAAACAAAAACAAGGGCTGGGAAGGTGGCTCAGTGGTAGAGCGCTTGCCTTGCATGCATGAAGCCCTGGGTTCAATTCCTCAATATCACATACACAGAAAAAGCTGGAAGTGGTGCTGTGGCTCAAGTGGTAGAATGCTAGCCTTGAGCAAACGCAGCTGACCCTGAGTTCAAGCCCCAGAACTGGCAAAAAAAAAATTTATTTTAAAAAAGAGCCTTAGGGACTTGGCTTCAAACCTTGATCCTCAAATCTCATCCTCCTGAGTAGCTATGATTACAGGTGTGAACTATCAGTGACCAGCTGCCTAAACAAAACAACACTGTGATACAGCCTCAGTCCACTTAAGCCAGGATGCTTGGAGTGATTTGTTAGACGGGAATGAAAACAATCTTCTTTGGCCCAGGGCCCTTCTGGGCCCAGGCAGGCCGCTCCTATGCCCACACCTCTGCCTGGCTTCCTGCTTTTCTTGGACTGCTTCCCTCACCCTTACAAATGTCTTCACTGTATCCCTCACAGCCAAACCAACCTAAAGCCTCGAGGCACAGAGAGGTAGAGCAACTTGCCTACAGCCACACAGCCAGTGAAAAGGCCTGACCTCTCTCTAACCCAGACTCACCATGTGGTTCATGGAATTGAAGTTGAGATAGGTGGGCACTTCCATGAAGGAACTGAAGAGGGTCAGGATGCTCAGGCAAAAGTCCATCAGCTTCAAGGTCATTATTGGGACCCTGGAATGGCCCTTTGGAGGACAGAGAGGAGGAAGGAGAATGAAGGTCAGTACTCAGAGGCCCAGCTAGAGACACCAGAGCCTCTTAACATACAGAAGGAAGGAGAGGGGACTCAAATGTCCACATCAGGACTGATGCAGCCCAGGGCTGGAGTCAGGGTCTCCAGACCCCAGGACATCAGTCCCTTCCCCAAGATAGCATGCCAGGGTCTTCAGGGACACGTCAGAGGACCTGGGCAAAGTGAGTTCAGGGGGGCTGGGAGAGAGGAGATCATTGACCAGCTGCAGCCACCAAGGTGGGCCACACTCACTGGTGGCCACTGATGATGTCATCTTTGTCATTCTTCATCTTGCTTCCCAAGGAGGGGAAAGATTGGGGCTGCGGCTGGACAAGGGCTGGTGGCCCGGCCTGTGGTGAGACTCACTCCACCTTCCCCTCCAATCCACATCTATAGGATGTCCTTCCATCCGAGGCCTCCACAGGAGGCCTGGTGGTGTGAGGGAGCTCAGGGACATCTCCAAGGAACGGGGCGGGGGGCGGGGGGGCCTGCCCTCAGCAGCCTGAGCCCCACCCCTTCCCAAGCCAGATGTGGGGCTGGAAACTCACCGGCTGGGTCCGGGAGACGAACTTGAGATAGGCAGGCAGCTCGATGTAGGAGCCCAGCAGTGTGAGCAAGCAGAGCAGGAAGTCCATGACTTGTAGGGATAGGAAGGGCAGCAGGCACCTCTCCCGGCTCTGCAAGGGAGGCCCTGCACCGTCAGGGGGTCCCTGGCACGAAGCCTAAGTCCCTGTGCCTCCCCTTCCCTCCCAAGCCAGCTGCCTGGCCTGCCCCGGCCCACGTGCTCACCTGGGGACAGGTGGGAGACGTCTTGGTGTCTGGGAAACCATCCCATCCTCAACTTATCCCTGAGATCCCCACAAGCAAGGGCTTTGTGTCCGCATTACAGGGAGGAGGGGACAGAGAGCACATCTGACAGCCTCTGGTCACTGTCTCTCCAGGGGTTCATCTTCCCAGGCCTCGGGGATTTCCAGAGTATGCCTGCTTGCTCCTCTCTCTCTCTCTCTCTCTCTCTCTCTCTCTCTCTCTCTCTCTCTCTCTCTTCTCTCTCTCTCTCTCTCTCTCTCTCTCTCTCTCTCTCTGCTCTCCTTTAGCTTTCTTGCTCAAGGCAAGTGCTCCACCACCTGAGTCCCAGCTCCACTCCCAGCTTTTTTTGTTGATCCATTGATGATGAGAGTCTCACAGACTTTCCTGCCCAGGCTCCAATTGCAATCCTCAGACCTCAGCCTCCTGAGTAGTGAAGATGACAGGCATGAGCCTCCGGCACCCAGCCGCGTCTCTGTGTTCTGTTTCTTTGGCTCCTGGTGCTGGTTACAAAACCCAGCCTTGGCCCCTGTCCCCAAAGCTATCCTTCCTCGTGGGATAAGAGGGTACAAGCCATCAGAGTCCCCCATGTTTTAACAGGGAACTCTGGCCATTAGATTGGGGAAGGGAGTCCTGTGGGGAGAGAAAGCTCCCCCTAAAGGAAGTATGCTGGTCTCTAGGTATGGAAGGGGCTCTTGGCTTCCTATAGGAGGGGCAGGAGGGCAGCTGGCTCCCCCCCACACCCCCCTCCTGGGTCACAGCAGACCTCACCTTGACCACGCCGATCAGCAGACTCAGGCTAATGAGAAACAGCATCAGGATGAGCAGGAAGCTGGAGATCACATTGGCTGGAAGGCAGGGGAGCGTGATGAGGGCTCGGGGTGCCCCTGGGGACCCCAGCTGGGCTGCCAGGACCATACTTTGGGAACAGCTGGCATGGAGACTTGAGAGTAGACAGGGGAGCCCCGGACCCTGCCCTCAGGTCACAGCCAGTCTCGGGGCAGGATCAGCACAGGGAACAGAGCACGTCAGATAACAAGACTCAGAGTGTACCTGGAGTCGCCTCGGGCCTACCTTAGCCAGAGCGGCCTGCGGGTGACAAGAAGCCAGCCACAAGCCATGGGTAGGGGGAGATGGCGGATTGGGGAGCAGAGATGGCGGGGGGGGGGGGGGCTACAGGCAGCCTGCGGGGCCTGAGTCCCCAGAGAGGAGGTTTGCTGGCAGAGGTGGCAGGCTTGGGCAGCGCATGGGGATGGCAGCTTTTGAAGTGCCAACCTCAGCTCCAGCCCCCTGGAGCCCTCTTGCCTCCAGGAGGGACAGGGATGAAGTTTTCCCATGAGGAAGGGAAGGGAAGGGAAGGGCTCCACTTCCCAGCCCATCTGCCCTGGCCAGGCCCTGCCCACCTCCCCAGCCAGGGACCTACCGATCCTGAGATACAGAGTCTTGGAGAACCTGCAGGAGCCTTTGCCATGAGCCACCTCCACCGAGTGCTCGATGAACAGCAAGATGCTCATGATCTGGGGAGAACAGAGATGGGTCAGCGGGGCTCCCACGCCACTCCCGTGTTACTGTTCAAGACTGGGGCGAGGATGGAACACTCAGGGCCGCAGGCCTCCTAGATCAACAGGTACCTTTCACAGGTGGACATCTCCAGGCCTCCGTTTCCCCATCCGTCCAATGGGGCTCATAAAGTAAGTCAGCCATGACCAGCTGATGAGCTGACAGAGACAGGACCACACCGGCTCTCAGGAGGAGCTACTAAGTCATTCAAGCTCAGGGTTGGAGGTGGGAGGGTCTCTCGCTGCTGGCTGGACTCCTTCCCCCACACCCCTTGTGTATCGTGACAGGTAGACAGAGCCACCTCACACCTATAATCGTCACTCTTCAGGAGGCTGAGATCTGAGGATCACAGTTCGAAGCCAGCCCAGGCAGACAAATCTGAGATTCTTATCTCCCACGAACTACCAAAAAGCTGGAAATGGAGCTGTAGCGCAAAGTGGTCGAGTGATAGTCTTGAACATAAAAGCTCAGGGATAGCACACAGGCCCTGAGTTCAAGCCCCAGAACCAGCAAAAGAAAAAAAAAGAGGGAGCGGGGGAGGAAAGGCAGATGAAGCAGCATTGACTTGCTCAGACCTGCTCCTGCACAGCCATGCTGCCCTCAACTGCTCCAAGCCCCGCTGGCCAGGCCTCTCAGCCCAGGTCACAGCCCAGGAAACAGAGGCTGAGCGTGAAGTGGGCCTGGGTCACATGGCTGCTACAATGGAGCCTTGGTACCTCCGCTCTGGGCTCTGGGCTCCTCTCAAGGCCGGGCTGCTCCCTGGGGCAGGACAGCCCCCTTCATTTGTACTAGGAGTCATTAAACCAAGCAAGGCCAATGGGGCAGAAATCCTGCAAGGTTTAGGGTGAGCCACGCAGGCTGTATGTCCCTTCCGCCACCAGAGGACCCTCCAGGGAGCACAAGGGGCTGGATTTCTAGTCTCCACCTTCTAGTCTCCACGTGGTCCTAGGGTCCCATGCCAGCCTGTGATGGGCACCTGGCTTTTGAATCTACTGCAGACAGATAACCTCCATCCCCCATCCAGCTCGGGCCCAGCATCAGGCCCCTCTGGCTCATGGCCGGTGCAGCTGGGAGGCTGTGCAGAGGTGAGCCAGGTGCCCGTGGCTCACACCTGTGGTCCTAGCTCCCCAGGAGGCTGAGCACCGAGGTTCAAAGCCAGCCTGCGCAGACAAATCGGAGAGACTCCATCTCCAATTAACTAGCAAAATGACAGACTGGAGACATGGCTCAAAGAGTAGCGTACCAGCCATGCGTGAAAAAGCCAATCCAGAGTGTGATGCCCTGAATTCAAGCCCCAGCACTCACTGTCTCTCTGTGTCTGTCTGTCTGTCTGTCTCTCTCTCTCTCTCACACACACACACAGACACACACACAGACACACACACAGACACAGACACACACACACACACACACACACACACACACACGATGTTTTTGTAAAAGCTAGTGGTTAAGTCAGGCACCAGTGGCTCACATTCAGGAGGCTGAGATCTGAGGATCACAGTTCAAAGCCAGTCGGGACAGAAAAGTCCGTGAGACTCTTATCTCCAATCAACTACTCAGAAAAAGCCAGAAGTGGTGCTGTGGCTCAAGTGGTAGAATGCTAACCTTGAGCACAGAGAGGCTCAGGGACAGTGCCCAGGCCCTGAGTACAATCAGCACACACTGAGTAAAGCCACTGATCTCTCCAGTCTCAGGTCCCTCCCGGGCTGCTGTGAGGAAGCAGACGCTCCCCCCACACACACACAGCCAGCCCACGGCAGGGCAACCTCAGTGCCTGCCATGGTCGGCACTCTGTCTGCACGAACTGTCCACTGAGACCTGCAGAACCCAAGGTATGGACGATGTGTTCACCGTCACCGTGGAGCAACTGGGGAGAGATCACTGCTAGGCATCAGATGCTGAGAAGATTTCACCAACAAGCTTTTGAGTGAGGCTTTGAAGGCTAAATAGGAGTTTTCCAAAAGAGGAAAAAGTAGCAAGAAATGGAAACGCACATGCACAGGCCCAAGCGTGTTTGGATCCCTGAGGGAGCTGTTACCCGTGGGGAAGGGAGGCCCAGAGAAGAGCTAGCAGCTCAGGATCACACAGCAAGACGGGTGCAGCCAGAGCCAGCTCCGGGCACCATCCCACACCGCAGGCCGCCTGCCGCTCCTCCCTCCCCCTGTCCGTGCCTCTCTCTGTTCTGCTTTTCCGCCTCTTCCCTCTGTGGCTCGTTTTGGTTCCCCTTGCTTTCCCCTCTAAGCCGAGGGCTGGAGGAAGTGGCAGAGGCCGGGCAAAGTTCTATTTCGTTCTCCAGCGACCCTGCAGACCACGCCGAGAGAAAGGGGTAGCCACAGGAAGGGAGGGGAGAATGTGGGGGACCAGGAAGTCATGGCAGCTGGAGGGCTGGAGGAGGTGGAGGCGGCACTGGGCAGGTGGACGGGCCACGGTGCCCCACCCCGGCCCTGTGTCCCTGGCGGGGTGGCCTGGGGTCTGCAGGGCTCCGGGGCTCTGGCTGAGGCTATGGAAGCCCCGGGTGGCTCTCAGCAGGCTAGTTCTTCCTATGCCTCAGTTTCCCCTCAATGGATGAGGACCCCAGACATATCCCAACAGCCACACACCTCCCTCTGTCACAGCCCCATATGGAAATAACCCCAGCTTCCTCCCACAGGGACACGGACCAGCTTCTTCCAGGAAGGCACTGTGGAATACTATAAGGCTTGGAAGCAGGGTGCTGGGACTCCCGGAGAGCTCCACGGGATGCCAACAGGGGTGGAAGTTACAGGGCAGGGTAATGAGGAGGAGGTACGAAGGGCCCGGGGAAGATCCTGTCCAATTTCATTCCTTTTCTTTCTTCCTTCCTCATCTCCCCGTTCTGTGCCAATACTGGGGCTTCGTCTCAGGGCCTGGACAGTGTCCCTTAGGTTTGTTTCAATCAAGGCTGGCACTCTACCACTTGGGCCACACCTCCATTTCCAGCTGGTAAGTGGTTCATTGTAGACTTTCTCAGGCTGGCTCTGAACTGCAATCCTTAGATCTCAGCCTCTTGAGTAGCTAAGATGACAGATGTGAGCCACTGGAGCCTGGCCTGGCCAGTTTCATAACAGGTGGAGTCTCCAGGGTCGCCACCCGCATGTAGGGGTATCTACACATTGCTGCGGGTAAATGATGAATTCGCAGATGACTTAGAATGATTAACCTAGAGCCCGGGGCTGTCATCCTAGCTGCTCAGGAGACTGAGATCTGAGGATCACAGCCTGAAGCCGGCCCAGGCAGGAAAGTCCGTGAGACCCTTATCTCCAGTTAACCACCAAAAAAGCCAGAAGTAGAGCTGTGGCTCAAGGGGTAGAACAGAAAAGCAAAACAGCTCAGAGACAGCGCCTGGGGCCTGAGTACAAGCCCCAAGACCAGCCCCAAACACACACACAAAACGTAGCCTAGAGACTGTCTGGCAGGGCCTGGTGGTTATGAAGATGACTCAGGCCAGACCGGACACAACACACAGGGATCAGCAGGCAGGCTTCAGGGACAGAGGGGAACTGGGCGTCCAGGGTGGGGCTCAGCAGAAACCGTGTGGCAGGAGCCTTTTCCCAGCAGGCAATGGGGGCAGGTGACTTCATGAGGGGCACATGGAAGAACAGGAGTGCGTCTCTAGTGAACAGGTTTGCGGTGACCCACGGGCTCAGAGCAGCCCACGGGAGGCCCCTGGCAAATGGTAACAGTTGAGGAGGGGGAGAGAGGTGTGGCTGGGCTGGGGAAGAGCAGACAGCGCTGACCAGAGGCCACCAAGCGCAGCAGTGGCTCATGCAAAGGCCCTGGGTGCAGCAGAGCCCAGCTGATGATACTTGACACGGTTTATCGCCTTGCGGCACAGGAAATGCTGTACCCCACACACACACACACACACACACACACACACACACACACACACACACAAACCAAGACAGACAACAGGGAGACAAGTCATCCCGAAGGCAGATCCCGGGGCAATCCCAGCAATCCCAGCAAGAGCCTCTTTGTGGACAGATGTTTGTGAGCTCAGAGCTGAGCTCCAGGCATGGAGCGCAGCCTGGTTAGCTTCTTCTTGTGCAATATCTACCCCTCAAGCAGCTCCCCAAACCTCTGCTTCCTGTTTATCTCCAGAACACAGATTCCTCCCCCTCAACATGACAAGCCTGTCATCACTATTGTTACAGAGCCTCTGCTAGCTCTGGTCTCTCCTCTGGACGCTCAGCCGCCCGGGCTGGGCCTTTCTGTTACCATCCTCACCGCTCTCCATTTTGCCAGTGATGGTAACATCAGCCTTTACCCACAGGTGGAAGATGGCAGCTTGTGGTTGGGAAGCCAGCGGCTGCCTCCCCCACGGCGCCAGCCCGAGAGACCTCAGGCCTCTGGGAAGCTCCACCGAGTCCTGCTGGTCCCAGCCTCGCCCTCCCGCCCCGCCCTGCCTGCCCCACTCACCTGTGCCCCCCTCCCCCTCCCCCCCAGCCAGCATTATCACCCACCATCATTCACCCAGAGGTTGGGGCAGCGGGAACTGTCTCCCGGCCAGGGTGGTCATCTGGGCAGCCTGGGGACAGAGCTGCAGCCCGTGGGCTCCCTCCATAAACAACACGGGATGCCTGGCTGTAAAAACTAGTGCATTTGGGCTGGGCACTGGTGGCTCCTGCCTGTGATCCCTCAGCTACTCAGGAGGCTGAGATCTGAGGGTCTCTGTTCAAAGCCAGGCGGGGCAGGAAAGTCGAGGAGACTCTTATCTCCAATGAACGACTCAGAAAAAGCCGGAAGTGGTGCTGTGGCTCAAGTGGTAGATCGTTAGCCTTGAGCACAAAGAGGCGCAAAGACAGCACCCAGGCCCTGAGTTCAAGCCCCAGAACCAAAAAACCAAAAATACAATAACTGCATTTGGATTGGAGATGTGGCTCAAGTGAGCCCCAGCCCTGAGCAAAAAAAGCTGAGTGAGAACAAGAAGCCAAGTCTGAGCCCTGGTATGTGAACATACACACACACACACACACACACACACACACACACCCCGTGCTGAGTGCATTGACCAAGTTACAGCAGCACTGGGCAGGTGGTAACTTGGTATAAAATGAACAGCGTGAGTCCCCACTGCGTCCTATGACCATTGCTGGCCTGTGTGAGAAACGGGGAGAATGGACGGCCTCCACAGAGGGGTCCCCAGTAACATCTACAGCTGCGTCGCCCGCAGGGGGGCCAAGCCTAATCCCCAGCTCTGTGGTGGGCTGTGCAGAGCGGCTTCCTTCCCAAGACTGCAGCGTGAGAACGATGAGAAGGGACTCCTACAAGGGAGACGCCTTGAACGTGTGTGTGTGTGTGTGTGTGTGTGTAAAACCCTCCCAAAACCAAGGTCAAGGGCACAGAGAGCAAAGAGAGTCAGAAGCTGTTCCAGCCCGGGGTTCCCGAGCACTTAAGGCGACAAGACAAACACTGGATAGACACAGACTACTTAACACCAGCACGTCAGTATCGGTGGCCACTGGGACAAACATACCACACCCATATGAGCCCTCAGCTATAGGAAACCCGGGTCAGACGCACGGAGTGCCCTGTACCGTGTTCCCGTCTTATGCAAATCAAAACGCTGCCTGAAAAGTGAAATAGACACTCTTAAGACATTGTACACACATCCGGTACCAAGGTGGAAATAGAGATCGCAGCCTGGCAGCCATGGCCCATGTCTGTGGTCCTAGCTACTTGGGAGGTTGAGATCCAGAGGCCTGACTGAGGTTCAAAGCCAGCCCAAGCAAAAAAGGCTGCCAGACTCCATCTCCAAAATAAGCAGCAAAAATCTAGGCTAGAGGAGTGGCTCGTGTGGTGTAGTCACAGCAAAGCAAGTAGGCTGAGCCAGAGTGCAGGGCCTTGAGTTCCAATCCCGATACCAATAAAGGGAGGGAGGGAAAAAGAGAGGGCAGAAGGAGAGGGGGGTAGGAGGGAAGCAAGAAACAAGTGGGAAGAAAGGAGGACTTCCAAATCCCCAGCCTGCCTTGACACGCATCGAGCGGCGACTGACGCATTCTGTCTACAGGCAGTGGACGTCTGTGTGGGTTTTTAGATCACAGCAGGTGTGATGTGGATTGCACTTCCGATGGTGAGATTCCAGGAACTCAGGGGAGAAGAGGTCAGGGAGGGATAGAGTTCTAGGCAAAGAGGTCCCCACCTCCTGCGCTGACTTAGGAGCTGTGAGATTACTAAAGAAAGTCCTCTGCCTCCCTGGGTGTGCGTGCGTGCGTGTGTACCAGGCGCCCCGAGCATCCTCTACAGAGACCCAGCCACATCCCAACAGTGTGCTCCCTGCCGGAGGCCCAGGACCGCACCATGCACAAAACCATCTTCCCATCACAGCACCCCACAACTCCGTGATCAGTGAAGCGGGGTGCTGTCTCAGGACGTTCGTGGCCCAATTTAACCCTCCCCTGAGGGGCCAAGTCCACAAATAGCTCCCAACGTACACCCTGGTCACCCCTGGCTGGCCCCAGTTGACGCCAGCATGGGCGACTGGCACATCTGGGCAGCGGCTTCTCTTCCTCCAGCCAGATGTTCAAGGCTCTGTCAGCACACCTGTTGCCCGCCTGCTGGGCTGCAGGAAAGCCCCCAGCCCTGCTCTTTCTGGGAAGGACACAGCCTTCTTGCCAGGACATCTGAAGGATAAGCTAGAGAGTTGCATTCACATGCATGTGTGTAAACACACACACACACACACACACACACACCTGTGTGCCTCTTTCTGCCTCCCATCCACAGTGCCTACTGCCAAGCCCTCCCTGACCCTCCTGCCAAAGGCACCACCTTCCAGGAAGTCTTCCCTGATCACTTTGCCCACACACAGTTCTGTAGATGGGGACTGGACACCCCAAAACCATTTACAGGAGACAGGATTAGACGGTGTGATCCAAAAAAACCCTTCATTTTATTCGAAACTAGCATCCATCACCAACACTAACACATCAGCAGAAGGGTCCCAGAAGACTGCTTGCAGATTCTCTGAAAGGCGACAGAGCCACCGTGCCCACGGCCATCATGGTGACACTCAGAGGAAATGGAGAGCAGCCACGAGAGAGACGGGCAAAGACTCCTGGCCACCACAGGCCCCTCGGCCCCCAGAGCCACTGGCCAACCTAAGTGGACCCCAGAGGCATCAGAGCGGGAATCTCTGAGCCAAGACCCGGTCCCTTACCTCCAAAGGGACACTGGCTGGGAGACAGGCTTGCTGGAGGCCCCGCAGGCCACCAGTGGCAGCGCGGGGGTAGGGACCCAAGGCCTTGGACAGGGCCATCTCTGCACACCTCGCTGTCCTGCGAGAATGTTGTAGTCCCTAGCCAGGCACAGGAGGCTCCCACCTGTAATTTCAGCTACTTGGGAGGCTGAGATCTGAGGATCAAAGCCAGCCAGGGCAGGAAAGTCTGTGAGACTCTTATCACCAATGAACCACCAAAAAGCTGGAATGGCTCAAGTGGTAGAGCACCAGCCCAGCCTTATGCAAGAAAAGCTAAGGGACAGAGCCCTGGCCTTGGGTTCAAGTGCACACGCACGCACACACACCACACACACACACACACACACACACACACACACAAACACACAAACACACACACACACACACACACACACACACACACACACACTTGCAGTTTCAGACTGAAGGCCTTGAAGTCTCCATGTGGGCACAGCCAGGGTGTCAGGACAGGAGCCAAACAGGACAAACTCTGTGCCCCTACTGTCTGACAGGTGACTCCATGCCCACGAGCTACCTGGGGCATCATTCACAGGAAAGCTCTCCACTGTGCCAGGCTTTCCTTGGTGGATATAACCAATCCCTCCTTCCTCACAGCAACCCCACCCCGCAGCAATTCTCATCACCATTGCTTAGGTGACAAGAGAGACTCAGAGAGGTTAAGCAAGTCAGCCAGGCTGCACAGCCCAGGAGCAGGGAAGCCAGGAGGCGAGCTGCAGAGGCCAGGTGCTACCAGGGTGAGGCTACCCACTCGGCCACTCTTGCTACTGCCCTGTTCGACTGGAAGCAGATGCAGCCAGGTCCTTGCAACCCACCGCAGGCCTTGAGACTAATTTTGAGGAAGCTCTTCCAGGTCCATGAGTCACCTGCTGCTCACCCCAGGCCCCGAGTCACCAAAGCAAAGCAGGAAGGCGTCTGGACCTGGGGGAGCTGGTGTGCCCAGGATATGGGGGTTGGGCACAAATCCAGATGGGGCAGAACAGAGACCCTGGCTTCCAGCTAGCACTCACGGGGGAAGCTCTGTCCCGCAGGCTTGTGAGTTGCCCAGAGTGCCACTGTGAGGTGACCGGAGACTGGACTTCTGCTGGGCGAGCGGTGTCCAGCAAGTTCTGAAGAAGAGCCCTGGTCTCTTATCTGCACATGGTCTAGAGTGTCCTTAGACCACAATGGTTTGGCTGAGCTGGGAATGGACCGTACTCAGCTCCTCGGCTCTTTCTGGAAACAGAAGGGAGACTTCCAGCCCTGGGCTGGAAGGGCTCAGGCCCTAAGAAGACTCGAAGCCAGGCCTGTGATGGATCTCTCAGCCCGGAGTTTGGGGTCCCAGGCTATGTCCTCCCTACCACCCCGGATCTCAGCCTCCAATGCAGTTTCTTCCTGCAGGCTACACACAGAGCACCCAAAACTGCCATTCCTCCATCTGAAGCCTGGGGTAAGGAAAGCTTTGTCCTGGAGTCCCACCGAAAGATGGCAGATAGCAGCCCTCCTGCCAGAGGGGATCAATAGTAGGTCAAAGGTCAACACGCACACCCACGCACGCACACACACAGACACGCACATGGACAGGCCCTCCCACAGCTGGCGCTCACCACGTGATAGATGGCCAGGGCGGAGGTGGCAATCCGGACATTGAAACAACAGCAGGTCTGGCGGACAAGGGCGGCGCGGGGAGCCATGGTCCCCTTCTTCTCAGAGTCGCTGTGAGGGAAGGAGCCCGGGGCAGGAAAGGGGAAGCTTCGAGGAGCCCGCCTCACTTCCGCCCTGCCCTCAGACAGCAGCAGCCAGGGCTTCATAACTAGGGCGGGGCAGCTGCCAAGGAGGGGCTGAGGAGAGCCTCGGGAGAGGCCAGGGCCGGACTCCAGGGGGCCCTGGGGGAGCCGACCCGGTCCCCTGGGCAACCACCCGGCACCAGACCTAGACTAAGCAGTTTCACACACCCTACTTCCTCACCATACCCGCAGAAGCCTGGGCAGTGACCAAGCTCGTTTCCAGATACAGAAGCAGAGGCCCAGAGAAGTCAAGGCATTCGGTCACTCAAATCACACAGGATTTACTCCTCTGGGCAAGATTCAAACCCAGATCTGTCTAATTGCAAGAATAACGATTGTTAGTGGGCCCTGGTAGCTCAGGCCTGTAATCCTAGCTACTCAGGAGGCTGAGATCTGAGGATCAGGGTTCGAAGCTAGCCCAGGCAGAAAAGGCCATAGGACTCTTATTTCCAATTAACCACCAAAAAGCCAGAAGTGGAAAAAAAAAGAAAAAGAAAAAGCCTTGATTAAAAAAGCAAAGTAAGAATGTGAGGTCCCGAGTTCAAGCCCCAGTTACACACTCACACACACACACTCACACACACACACACACACACACACACACACCAGCTATTGTCCAGGATGTAGTTCCTATGGGCCTAAGCCTCTGGGTTAACCTTTTGCTCCTCATTGCCATCTTTTGAGAGAAGTGCTACTCACGTCCCCGCTTCACAGATGGAGAAACTGAGTCATGGGACTAAATGACTTGTCCACAGTCACCTAGCTAGTCCAAGGAATGGGTGTTTGAAGGGGGACTGGCTGGTTCTAGCAGCGGCCCTGGAGCTGGCAATCTCTGCCCTCTCTGCCCCCAGCCTGGAGAAGCAGGGGGTTCTCCCCGGCCACTGAAAAGGCTACAGGCTCCCACACCAGCACAGAGGAGTCACGGAACGAAGCCGTGAGCGGTGCCCCAGGCCGAGGCCAGCCTCTTCCCCCTGCTGATTGGAAACCAAAGGCCAATCAGGGAGACCCTCAGCCGGACCACCTCCGCTTCAGGCTCAAAGCTACCCCCAGCCCCAGCCCCAGGCATGAAATCAAGCATTTTTTCTTCTTCACCTTTGGGAAAAGTTGGAATGAATAAACCTCAATTGCTGAGTAAAGCTACCCTGGGACCTTCATTCCCTCCTCAAATGATCATTTGCCCATATTATAGAGAAGAAAGGAAACAGCGAGTGTGTACAAGACACCTAGGAGAAGCCCTACTCTGTCCCAAAGACAACTAACTTTGCTTGCAACATACAGCTTCGGGCAGCCAGCAAAGCCAGAGCAGTGAAACCCCGCCTCCTATGACATCATAGAGTGAAGACCCACCTCCCATAACATCATGGTGTTTGGCCACCACAGCTGCCCATCATTTCTGCTACAAGAGAGGTTATAAAGTGTCTCTAAGCCCCTCTTACCCAGCCAGAGGCCGACACATGGGACCCATAAAACTTGACTTGATCAAACCCTTGTCTGTTTGCCAATGAGATTAAACCTGGGGCTCTGGGGAGACCCAGCCAGGCCCTTTCCAACTTCATTTTCAAGACTGTTTCTTTTCCTCCATAAGCCTTGCTGAGTGAGACCTGACATCATCACTGTGATAGAGGGCAGTGACTGAAGACTCGTGGGATGAGTTCTGGCTGGACAGCCAAAGCAACAAGAGAAGCAGCCAGGCCAGAGGACCTGCAAATGAGAACAGAGGCCCGGGAAGGTTCGGAGGCCACATTCTGACTTGGTATAAACAGTTGTACAGCCAATTCCAAAGAGGGGCAAATGCATTGACAGTATGTGTGTCATAATTCTGTATGATCTTCACTTATATGTTGATAAATTCAGTTTTGTGCGCATTGTAAAGACACAGCTAGTCCATGAATGCTGTGGTCTTCCATTTCCATTTTCAAACAGATGCATGTAAACCGAAGCACCCTGCCACTGATACAGAGAAAACAGTAGGAAAATCTCACAGGTACGCGTGTGGCCCACACGCAGCTGTGTAGAATGCCCACACACGGGTAGCAGACAGCCATTGGGGTGAGATGAGAATTCTTCCTTGCCTTGGGAATCCCAGCGCCAGGGAGAATCCCAGCCCCTGCTTAGTAGCTGTGTGATCTCTGGAAGAGTGCTTTATGTCTCTGAGCTGTTGTTTCCATAGTTGCGAAATGAAAGGGCAGGAGTTTGCCCACAGAGATGAAATCAGGTCACATGACGCCATCTGTTTCCTCCTTCCCAGCCTCTGCTCAACCACACTCAGACTGCCACCCAGAGGAGGCAGAGCTTGGATCTAACCCTGATCTGTAGGGGCCTGAGTCCCAGGCTGATCACAAAGACACATCCTCCCTCCCCAGGCACTGCCCCCCCCCCCCAACTGGAGTCTAATGGAATCTTCTTGCTAGGTCCCCAGTTTCCCCTGGCTGCAGGTCCCTGGGGAAGGCAAACCTCACCTTCTATGCTTTTCTCCCCACCAGTCGTCCTGGGGAGGAGAGAAGTGTTCTCTCGAAAGTCAAGACTGGGGCTGGGAAGGTGGCTCAGTGGTAGAGCGCTTGCCTTGCATGCTTGAGGCCCTGGGTTCGATTCCTCAGCACCACATAAGCAAAAAGAAAAAAGCTGGAAGTGGCGCTGTGGCTCAAGTGGTAGAGCGCTAGCGTAGAGCTGAAGAGCTGAGGGACAGCGCCCAGGCCCAGAGTTCAGGCCCCACAACCAGACCAAAAAAGAAAAAGAAGTCAAGACTCTGCTGGGTGACGCTGGCTCATGCAATTAATCCTAGCTACTCAGGAAGCTGAGATCTGAAGATTGCAGTTCAAAGCCAGCACAGGCAGGAAAGCCTGTGAGACTCTTATCTCCAAGTAACCACCAGAAAACCAGAAGTGGTGCTGTGGCTCAAGGGGTAGAGCACTCTCCTTGAACTGAAGAGCTGAGGGACAGCGCCCAGGCCCAGAGTTCAAGCCCCACGACCAACAAACAAATAAATAAATAAAGCACCTTCCTCTCCCCCCCCACCCCCCCCCCCACATACCTCCTAACTCCATGGGTGCACTACAGCTATGATTAAATTAAGGATCTTGAGATGAGACAGCCTGGGATTATCTGGGTAGCTCAGAGGAATCAAACAGGTCCTCACAAGTGAAAGGGGGAGGCAGGAATATCAGAGCCACAGGGAGATCAGAAGGTGCCACATCGCTGACCCTGAGGACGGAGGAAGGGGTCATGGGTAGCCATGCAGGTGCCTTCTAGAAGCCAGAGAAGACAAGGGAAGAGATTTTTCTCCTAGGGGGTCCGGCATGTTGATTTTAGCTCAGGGGAACCCAGTTTGGACCTTCAGCCTCCAGACTGGAAGATAACAAATTTGTGGTGTTTGTAATGATTTGTTATGCAGCCATAGAAACCAACACAACTGCTTAGCAGAGTCCTCTGTGCAACCCAGGCCCCCTGATGCAGAACCCACTACACACACACACAGACACACACAGACACACAGACACAGACACACACACACACACACACACACACACACACACACACACAGAGTCCCATCCACATGTAGCTCTTGGCTTCCTGGTTATGGAAACCTGGGTAAGCCATGAACTTCTCTGAACTTCCAGTTTTTTCCTGCACAAAATGGGGGTTATGATAATGCTCACCTCATGTGAGAATTACCTAAGGCCAGGTACATGCTGATAACCCAAGCTCCCTGCTCATACTCTGCCCTTTCCCATTTCAAATGGCCTGCTGCTAGCTTACCTGACCTCTTGTTTAAGGGTCATTGGAACCCTGCAAAGCTCAGACCTTCCAAACTCCCTGAGACAAGGAGAAAGTGTTTTCACAGAGCACAGGTTCAAATCTGCTTCTGGAGCCGCCATTGCAAATGTGGTTTCTGATACTGGAATCTTCTAAAGATTTACTAACGAGCAATGATTCTGTCTCCTAAAACACCCATCCTCTTGGATGCTGAGAAAGCCTGAACTGCCGGCCAGCTATCCTGCTCCGTCATGGGCTGCCATGGTGAATGAAATTTGAACTGATTGCTGTTTCCTCAAAGGCAGACGGACTTGAAGCTTCTCTCTGAAGCTACAAGAACATCTCTGGAAGCTCTTTCTCCCACCATATGCCCAGAGGCAAAAATAAAACCCAGAACTCTGCCATATTTCTACTTCAGCAGCCAGGAGGGGAGTCCTGTGTCCTGTCAATTAATGCAGAATGAGTAGGCCTGGGTCGCAGAAGTGGTCCACAATGGGAGCTTGTGAGGTTCGCTCTGATTGTTTTCACCCACAGTTAACCCCTCTCCTGGGAGAGTTGCCCCCAGCTCCAGGCAGGGGACAAAGGTGGGGATTAATGGTAGCAGTAACTGTGATTGTAGAGCTGAGCCCAGGGCCTCAGGACCCTGCTTTCCTCCCATGACCTGCTGCAGGAATCCAGGCCTTGACCTCTGATTGGTGATAGTGGTGGTGGTGGTGGTGTGTTCTGGAAAGAACCTCATTTGGTCAGGCCCCCATGAAAGTGGTTTAGCACCTGCCATGAACACCATAGTAAGAATTACTTTGTAGAGTCTTTCCCCCAGATAGGGGATTTTTATCTAATAATAAAAACAACAACAACCACTAACCAACCCAAGGAATGGCCCTGCCCCTACTAGAAGTTAAAAATAAAAAGCAAGACCAAGCACTATGTATGCTTTGACTAACAGTCAAAGTTATTATGTACTTCTAAGAAGCCTACAGTTTTCCTGTTTGAAAAGGTACAGATTGATTCTATTCATGAGCTCATCTGCTACCTAACTTCCCTTCTGCCTGCCAGAAATGCGGGTCCGGTGCCCATTTTTTGGACTCTACAGCCATTGTGGAATCAGAGCAAGAACTATACCTCAGGGCATGTACAGGAATAAGACGAAAAGAGCGCAGGACCCAAAGTACTTCCAGAAGCCCCGTCTCAGTCCTGAGCTTCCTGCTCCATAGCCCTCTCACAGAGT